TTTTTTTTTTTTAGAGAAAGAGTGCTCACATGCACACAGGAGAGGGGTGGCAGAGGGAGAGGGAGAAGAAGGGAGGGAGGGAGAGGGAAAGGGGGAGAGAGAGAGAGAAAGACAAAGAGAGAAAGACAGAGAGAGAGAGAGAGAGAGAGAGAGAGAGAGAGAATTTTAAGCAGGTTCTATGCCCAGCACAGGGCCTATGGGGCTCAATCTCAGGACTGTGAGGTCATGACCTAAACTGAAATCAAGAGTCAGACACTTAAACTAAGTTACCCAGGCGCCCTGGATATACTCCTTTCGTAACTACGCCCCTACTATTGAACATTTAGTGGCTTTCCCTCCCTAATTTTTCATTATACATAAGACAACAGTATCTTAAGCCTTTTAAAATATCCATTGTTCTCATAGAAAAAGGCAGATAGAGGAACTTCTGTTCCTTTTCCCTCCAAGGAATTTTATGTGTTTACCACAAGGTATATGAGCCCAAACCACTTAAAAGGCTTAATCTCTACAAAGGGGCTGGGCACCGGCAAGAACCCGCAGACTCCAGGGCTGAGCCCAGGCCACACCTGTCCTCTGCCCCCACCTCCAGCACCATGCACATCACACCCCAGTCACCTGCGGCTCCTCTGCCATTCCCCACAGCGACCAGGACACGGACTGATCTCTTTCTTCCCTCTTTTGCTGTCATGTTGAAAACATTTCTTACCTAAAACACAAAATGTTGCATATATATTACACCTTAAGGAAATTCTGAAGTAGGGAACTGGACTGAGCCCCTTACACACACACAGCGCCACCTGAGTAGCTACAACATCCTCTAAGTCATGAGTAGCAACAGCAAACTCTCCAAAGGAAACCTCTCTCTGCAGTTTCTCTAGTGGTAAAATCGAACTTTCCCTTCCTATTTCCTAAGGTTGTTAGAAGGCTGAACGGAGATAACTTTTGAACGGATTAGAAACCATACAACTCGGGGCACCTGGGTGGCTCAGTTGGTTGGGCAGCCGACTACAGCTCAGGTCGTGATCTCGCGGTCTGTGAGTTCGAGCCCCACATCGGGCTCTGTCCTGAGAGCTCAGAGCCTGGAGCCTGCTTCAGATTCTGTGTCTCCTTCTCCCTCTGCCCCTTCCCTGCTTGCTCTCTGTCTCTGTCTCTCTCTCTCAAAAATAATAAACAATAAAACAATTAAAAAAAAAAGAGAGAAACCATACAACTCAATATACATTATTTTAGTGAATTTCACAAAGGAAGAAAGTTGCTGACCAAACTTTGAAAGAATTTGTAACGGACTTATTATAAGACATATTCCCGGTGATCAGAGATGTTAAAACAAAGAAGATGTGTATCTTAGAAATGAAAATGCAGGGGCGCCTGGGTGGCGCAGTCGGTTAAGTGTCCGACTTCAGCCAGGTCACGATCTCGCGGTCCGTGGGTTCGAGCCCCGTGTCGGGCTCTGGGCTGATGGCTCAGAGCCTGGAGCCTGTTTCGGATTCTGTGTCTCCCTCTCTCTCTGCCCCTCCCCCGTTCATGCTCTGTCTCTCTCTGTCCCAAAAATAAATAAAAACGTTGAAAAAAAAATTAAAAAAAAAAAAAAAAAAAAAAAAAAAAAAAAGAAATGAAAATGCAGTCTACAGAAAGAATAAGCACAGGACTGAATCTCTATGCTAAGGTTTAGGCTCACAGGCTCACCGGATAATACAAAATTTAGAAATACCTGCTTACTAGAAACTACAGGAAAATCTGTGTTTTGTTTGTTTGTTTTGTTTTGGCATATTTAAAAGGCCAGGATCTATGAAACTGTTACCTTAAACTGCTTACATGGCAGGTCCCTTCCCAAAAGTAAGGTTAAAGGAAAAGGTCGAGTCCACACCCGTGGACAATCTTGTAGGTAATCATCCACATACAAGAATTCTTCAAAGGGATTAACTTCCAAAAGATATAAACTGGGCCCCAAAGACATAAAATGCTTGTAAACATAAAGTACCGATATTGATGAAATAATATACATATTCAATCACAAAATCAATAAATGGTTATTCCAAATGATAGTTAACACCGGCCAAGTATGCAGCACTAGCTCAAAGGGAAGTGGACTATTTTGGTGATTTTCAATCACCCTGGAAAGAGTGACTGAAATTTCCCTGACACAGGCTTCGGTTTCAACGGCCTGCAAACAGCCCAAAAGATTATTTCCCCGTCAAGAGCTGGGCATTCACAGCAACTCAAAGCTTTCTTACCCTGCCCCATGAACTGAGTGCCAGGACAGATTGCTAATGCTGGCTTTAGAAGGGAGGGTTTCAATAGTAGTCTCCAAATTCTGTTCTTGACCATACCCCTGAAGTTGCCTTGTCATGAGACCGCAACTGGTAGCCCCCAAAAGAGGGCAGCAGTCAGGACAGCCAGGATCAAGTAACTGAAATTAAAGTTTCGTTATTCCCTTATCCGAACCAGCTCCGTGTCTCAGAAAAAAATCACGCACCAAAGGCTGTTCCTCATGGTTCCACTCGCACTATTCCCGCTCTACCCACACCAACTTCTCTAAAGGCTCAACTGGGTATGTGATGCAGCACGCCTACCTCCAGTATTCTGGTATCAAAATCATCATATGTTTCTGTGGAAAGAAAAGAAGAAGGCATGTAGATAAACCAGGCACCATCACTAATTTTTAAGTGAGAAGGAATCTCAAATCTTTTGGTGTCACTCCCAAGGCCACACCCTAGTCCTCCATGATCACCAGACTGCTCCACCACTAAATTCCTAAAACTCGGCCATCTCCCTGACTGCATCCTCCTACCCCTGCAGCTCTCTCACTCAGCAACTCACAAGGTGGTGGTTCTTGGAGCTCCCCAGCACCACCAGACTCCTGACCCCTTCTTTATTTTCCCTCGGACCCCCTATGGTCTTCACAGCCTCTGCCACTCAGCCAAGACACCATAAGCCATCACTTCCACCAGACGTTGCAAATAGCCTCAACTTCCTCCCCCTCTTCTCTCCCCACCATACCACCTAGGCCAGGATCAAGGCAACTCCCTGGCCACACCTGACCTATGGGGTGCCGCTGCTAGAGAGAAGTCAAAGCAGAGTACACACGTGAGCCACGAAAAAGTCATGGTCTCCAACTCAGTCAAGTCCTCCCTGCTGCCTGTTGGCCTTTTATGTCTCTTTCCACTCACCACAGCAGCCATTTCAAACACTCTGGGTTCTCTGATTTTTATTAACTTTTTCCTATAGAAAATTTCACTCACATAAAAAATAAGATAGAACAGCAAAATGAAGTCTTACACACCCATTAGCCAGCTTCGACAATTATCAACTCCTAGCCAATCTTCTTTCCTCTAAGTTCTGTCCAATTCCTACTTCGTTGGGTAATTTTTTTAAATTATTTATTGTTTAATATACATCCAAGGTAGTTAGTATATAGTGCAACAATGATTTCAGCAGCAGACTCCTTAAAGCCCCTTACCCATTTAGCCCATCCCCCCTCCCATAACCTCTCCAGCAACCCTCTGTTTGTTCTCTATATTTAAAAGTCCCTTGGGCACCTGGGTGGCTCAGTCGGTTATGCGTCTGACTTTGGCTCAGGTCACGATCTCATGGTTCTTGAGTTCGAGCCCCGAGTCGGGCTCTGTGCTGACAGCTCAGAGCCTGGAGCCTGCTTTGGATTCTGTGTCTCCCTCTCTCTCTGCCTCTCCCCTGCTCACGCTCTGTCTCTCTCTCTCACAGATAAACGTTAAAAAAAATTTTTTTTAAAGTCTCTTATGTTTTGTCCCACTCCCTATCTTCATTATTATTTTTGCTTCCCTTCCCTATGTTCATCTGTTTAGTATCTTAAATTCCTCGTCTGAGTGAAGTCATATGATATTTGTCTTTCTCTAATTTCACTTAGCACAATACCCTTCAGTTCCATCCACATAGTTGCAAATGGTAAGATTTCATTCTTTTTTGATTGCCAAGTAATACCCCATTGTATATACATACCACATCTTTATCCATTCATCCATCGATGGACATTTGGGCTCTTTCCATACTTTGGTTATTGTCAACAGCGCTGCTATAAACATTGGGGTGCATGTGCCCCTTCGAAACAGCACACCTGTATCCCTCGGTAAATACCTAGCAGTGCAATTGCTAGGTTGTAGGGTAGTTCTATTTTTAGTTTTTTGAGGAACCTCCACACTGTTTTCCAGAGTGGCTGCACCAGCTTGCATTGCCGCCAACAATGCAAAAGAGAGGCTCTCTCTCCGCATCCTCGCCAACATCTGTTGTTGCCTGAGTTGTTAATGTTAGCCATTCTGACAGGTGTGAGGCGGTATCTCATTGTGGTCTTGATTTGTATTTTCCTGATGATGAGTGACGTTCAGCATCTTTTCATGTGTGTTAGCCATCTGGATGTCTTCTTTGGAAGAGTATCTACTCACGTCTTTTGCCCATTTCTTCACTGGAGTATTCATTTTTTGGGTGTTGAGTTTGGTAAGTTCTTTACAGATTTTGGATACTAACCCTTTATCTGACATGTCATTTGCAAATATCTTCTCCCATTCTGTCGGTTGGTTGCCTTTTAGTTTTGCTGCCATTGGGTAATTTTGAAGCCAGTCCTAGACACCTGTCTCTTCATCAAAATATTCTGGTGCCCATGCTCATCAATGCTCATCCTACTTTCAGCAGATGACCCCATCTCCTCCTCACAGACTAACCGAAGCCACCAGACAGCTACCACTCACCCACCACACCCCCAGCAGGCTCACATTTCCACTACCAACAACATAGGCTCCACCTGAACCCACAGTCACGAGTTAATCCATTTATCCACCCTGGGTCTGGGTCCTCATTAGGGTTTTAGTTTACGGGTTTTTTTTCTCTCCCTCCCATACCTTCATCCACTCGACTGAAGCATTTTGCTCCGTTCTAAGCATGTTTACCTGAATCTCTCCATCTCAACTTCTCTCCTCTTTAAGCCAAATTTAACAAAGCAGCCAAACTTGTCTATTTCTTCATCTCCTACTCATTGACAGTATTGAATTTTTCACATGAGTTTTACTTCTTTACATATTCGGGATGGGGTGGTGCGGGGAGGACTTCATTTTCTACTTTGGCCTGATAAGTATTAGCAATTTTTATTTCATGTATGCTTTTATGACACTGAATGACAACTATCTGGTTTATCTTCTGTTATCAAAACAGAACTGCCAAGCCACACTGCTCCACAGGTACCCCATGAGCACCTGTGTTTGAGGAACTGCACCCGACAAGTAGCTCTGTCTAGATCTAAAATAGACCACCACATTCAAGGCTCTGAGAAGCCACACAGTAAGGATTCCAGAAGCCAATGCTTTGCATCCTGTGTGTGGACTACTTTTGCGTATGGGCCTCTAGTGTTCCATAAAATACAACTGAGTAATTAACATGACGTTATTTCAATAATGCTCAAATCCCTTTTTTTGGAAAAAGGCAATCTAAACAGACAAGTAAAATCCACTTAAGGAATTCTAGAACTACAAGTACTCTCTCCATCACAAAGGTAAGCAACACCAGGACTCAGCTACCTCCATTGGGACCAGGGTCCGGGGGGCCAAGACTGACGCCTCCCCACGTGTTTCCACTCCATCCTCGCTCCCGTTTAACCTTCATCTTCCTCTTCCGGTCCCACTCTTCCCTCTGCTGGACCATCTCCGCCTCTATCTTCTCCTGGTCTTCCTTGCTTCTTTGGGCAATGGTCTGTACAGCTCCGTCTCTCATGAGAGGGACATTGAGACCAGGCCATAGGAAGCCATGACGCCCTGGAGGTTTGAAAACATACATTAATAAGAATTTTTAAAAATCATTCGTTTCTTACGTGCTAAAATGGTAGGCAAGGGGTGTACAGATAATGATGCTGCCGGAGGGAGCTTAAACTAACAATCACTTGGCAGGCCACTTGGCACTGTCTATTAAAATTTTAAGTGTACCTACTGTAATAACTAGTAATCCCACTTAATGCTACCTACAGAAACATTCCCACACAGTTACGAGGCGTAAGTGTGCTTGGACAAGGAGGTCCACTGAAGTGTTACTTGTAAAGGCAAAGAGTGGAAGCGATCTAAATGTACAGCAATAGTGGACTGGTTAAATGACTACAGCATCTTCAACCCGTGAAATATTTTACACTAAATTCAAAGAATGAGGTTGCTATAGAGATACTGATGTGGAACAATTTCTAAGACCTAATATTAGTGAAAAAAGTAAATTATAGGACAGAATGTACCATATGATAGAATTTACTTTTTTAAAAAGAAAATATGTATTTCTTTTAGGGTATTTATGTATATAAAAACATCATAGGGGCGCCTGGGTGGCGCAGTCGGTTAAGCGTCCGACTTCAGCCACGTCACGATCTCACGGTCCGTGAGTTCGAGCCCCGCGTCAGGCTCTGGGCTAATGGCTCGGAGCCTGGAGCCTGTTTCCGATTCTGTGTCTCCCTCTCTCTCTGCCCCTCCCCCGTTCATGCTCTGTCTCTGTCTGTCCCATAAATAAATAAAAACGTTGAAAAAAAAATTTAAAAAAAAAATAAAAACATTATAAAGGGTCAGAAGAAGGGGCGCCTGGGTGGCTCAGTCAGTTAAGCGTCCAACTTCAGCTCAGGTCACAATCTCATGGTTCGTGGGTTTGAGCTCCCTGTCGGGCTCTGTGCTGACAGCTCAGAGCCTGGAACCTGCTTCAGATTCTGTGTCTCCCTGTCTCTCTCCCCCTCCCCTGGTCGTACTCTGTCTCTCAAAACTAAACAAATGTTAAAAAAAAAAAAAAATTTTTTTTTTAATAAAAAATAAAAAAGGTTAGAAGGAAACACATCAAAATGAGATCAGTGCCTTCCTTGGGGGGCAGCAACTGGGATTGGTGGGGAGAGAGAAAGGGCATCAAGGGGACTTTAGATTTCTCTACAATCTTTGAATTTTTTTACTGAGAAAGTATACATATATGATTGCTGTACTTTTTAAAAAGTTAAAAAATAAAATAAGATATAAGGTGAGTCATCAGAGAAAAAGATTCAAGTAGACACGTAAGTGCAGTGAAAGGTGTTTTCTTTATGCCTGAAGGCTATTATTACCAAGGATAATTGGTCAATAACCATAGCACAAAATGTTGATCCAAGTACACTATACAATTTTTACTCTTTAAAAAACACAAGTATAAACAGTTATGTTTCCAGGGGTTGGCAGACTAAGGCTCAGGGGCCAAATCCTGCCCACCACTTGTTTTTATAAAGTTTTACTGGAACATAGCTCTCCTGGTTAGATCATATATTGTCTAGGACTGTTTCTGTGCCCCCTTAGCAGAGTTGAAGAGTTGTAAGTAACAGAGTCCATGTGGCTCAGAAAGCTAAAAATATTGACCATCTGGCCCTCTGCAGAGGTTTGCCAACTTTCACCAAATCATAAGATCCTTGAGGGCACTGTCACAGAAGATGTGACGCAAGGGCACTTAGGCTTGTGGAATGAATAACCGAATGAATTCCTTTCTATGGGATTTTCTTCCCCCAGAATCATGGGGCATTAAGTGAGCCATTTGACTTAATTCTAAAACTGCAAACCTAATGCCCTTCATGAGAAATGTATGAGGCTTCTAGACTATAAAAATCTCTACAAAACTGGGAAGGAAACTTTAAAAAGCACATTAGACTTTTTATAAATAAGCTTACCTTCACCAATGATCTGACCCCTGTTCAAATCCTTTCTTCTCTTTTTCTTAGTTCTTTTGCCTCTTCCTTTTCTTGCTCCTGCACCAGTCTCTGCTAAAGCGCCTTTCCATAGCTCATCTGCTGTCACTGTAATGAAACAGGTTTTTTGGTTTTTTAATTACCAAGCAATGATCTGTGGTCCCCTGCTGAATAAAAAAGGCCCAAAGAGTCCAGCTCACTTGTATCACTGTGGTGATGAAAATAAAATTATATCATTCTTTATACATATCAAACACATGGTTACATTTGGACAACCCAAGAGATGACTATACTATTCTCAAAGCGCATGGCCTCCCTCCACAAAAGACAGCCAACGTTTAAATCCCATTTGCCGGTAGTTCATTTCCCAGACATCTCATCAACTATGTTACAGGTCTCTTCCCTGCCCTCCTGCCACCACTATAACCCCTGAGATAATACTTATCCTTAAATACAGGTTTCTTAGCCCAAACAAGAATCAACATTGCAATCTGAACTCATAAATCTTAATACTGTGAACTGTTTGCTCTATTCTTCTGTGAATGCCTTAAATACCTCTGTGCATCCTTCAAAATAAGATGCCCACATCCACCTTCAACTCTAATTAAAATCTAAACAATACATAGGAAGGAATGAGGAGGTAGGAGTCTGATAGTTCATATTTGCATACAGTGTGTGTATTCTCAAACCATGCTTGCCTTTCACTTGATGTATAGAGCCCTACACTGCTGATTTATTTCCATTTGTGAATTTCTAGGATCCCCAAATCTTTTTCTACCATACATTTCAATCAGTACTTACCCCTCTGTACTTGTGGAATATTCAGATTCATTACTTTCGACACTACTGAATTCTATTGATGTAGTCAATTTAAGTCCTATCTTCCCAAGGACTTCCAGCCTTTCACAGTATCACCAATTGATTTTACAGTCATAGATTCTGTCCCATTACCAATTTATTTAATAAAGAATCACAGCCACACAAATGTTGTAGTACTCAAAACTCTAAGATACATCTATCTACATGCCGGAAATACTAAACATATTCCGGAAAACAAATGAGTAGCTTCATTCTCTTACCCTTAGGGTTTAAAAGTTCTACCTGCTTGCTTCCTGAAAGGTCTTCCCTTGATCTTCTGAGTAGATAGCATGGAGAGGGAAAAATGTTTTGGATTTATATTTTTAAAGGCTTTAATCTGTTCGGTATCCCATTTATCTAAACACATACATATTAGAGTTGATCTTCATAACTGAAGCTCAGAAAAGTAACTGAGATTCCACATCACATGCTGCTTTGCACCCTGATCAGAGCAAAGGCTTTAAGTTGAGCTCAAACTTTGACACTGATTCACTTAAAAGAACGTAAGTTTGAAATAAAATCACCAACCCCAAACTAAATTCTCACTAAACATTTGATTTTGTTTCCTAACCGCTTAAAAATGGTGCTACCTATAGATGCCATCAAAAACTTGAAAGTTCACAATGAAAGCACTTTTAATGGGGGCATATTAAGAGGTCAATTAGTTTTTCTTCACTTAGAATAAGCAAATCACTCATTAATATTAAAAAGGATCTGGGGCACCTGGGTGGCTCAATTGGTTAAGCATCTGAATTCAGCTCAGGTCATGATCTCATGGTTCGTGGGTTTGAGCCCCGCATCAGGCTCTGTGCTGACAGCTCAGAACCTGCAGCCTGCTTCGGATTCTGTGTCCCTCTCTCTCTAGCTCTCCCCACTTGTACTCTGTCTCTCTCTCTCTCTCTCTCAAAGATAAGTAAACATTAAAAAAAAATTTTTTTTAATAAAAGGGTACACTCTTTATTTCTAAAAAAAAAAAATACTAAAAAGGATCTGATTTTAAAAAGAAATTGATATTGAGACAAAGATGTAAAAGACTAAAAAGTTTAGTTCATTTTCTTTATTACATATTCTAAGAGGAAAATAAAATTTCGAACTACATCCGGAAAAGACAGTGAGTCATATGTCAACTCTTGAATGCCATTATGCTATTAAAAATGGTTTTAGTCTTTTTTCAGATTATAACAGAAATAGTTACTTTTTAAAATTTAGAAAATATAGGGGTGTCTGGGTGGCTCAGTCAGTTAAGTATCCAACTTCGGCTCAGGCCGTTTCTCACAGTCTGGGAGTTCGAGCCCCACGTTGGGCTGTGTGCTGACAGCTCCCTCCCTCTCTCTGCTCCTCCCCCACTCACACTCTGTCTCTTTCTCTCAAAAATAAACATTTAAAAAAATAAAGTGAAGTAAAAAATGAAATTTGGAAAATATAAACACTATGACAAGCATACAAAAATTAATAATAATCCCACTGTTAAATCAGAACATACATTTTTTCTTCCTTCATGCATATACACATAAGTGTACATACATATTTCATTTGTTTAGACAAAACTAAAATTATGCTACATGTACAATTTTGCATCCTGGGTTTTTTTTACATATTACATTGTGAGCCTTATCTCATATTCTTACTATTATTCACAAACATAATTTTTTCAATGGCTCTAAGTTGAATAAGTTATTTGACAGAGATTTTACTATTTTAACATCAGAACATACTGGTCTGATTCTAATTAACCTGAGATGTTATTTAGAATAGATTTACTATTATTTCAGCTCTTTCTGTCATTTTTGGAAGGGCTTAGGTAGATTAACATATATACCTGTTAACTACCATAGTTAGGTAAAATATATTTCATGTTTTATACACACACACACACACACACACACATACATATATGCAAAATCCACTATTACATCCAATTTGATACATGGAGCTATTTCAGACTTAATCATGCTAAGTAAACTACTTGCTAATTTGGATCAAAGGTATTTAAATGGTAGATTCCCCCCCCCCCACACACACACACACCCATAGCAGAGGGATAGATTTACAAGTACAATGTTAAATACTCTTAGGAAATCTTAATGAGTTTTGATAAATTATAGTTTTTGGTTTTTGTGGGGGTTTTTTTGGAGGAAATTTACAAAATCAAAGACTATTTCCTACTGAAACAGCAAAAGCTAGCTAGCTCAATGCTAGTTTCAACTGAGTTCATCCTCTTAAAGTTAATCTTAGTGTGACTTGGGAGCAATAAACTCATAAGGGTTCAGAGTCCTGTAACTGGGGAAGAACGTAGGCTAATGGAGAGTCAGGCAGATACGAGACAACAGTGCACGGACAGGGGTGTCAAAGGGCAAGGGGCACCTCTAAAACAAGAAGAGTTAGAGAAAAGGACTTCTAGGGCAGGGGAAAAACAACGGACAGTCCCTGGGTTATGATGGCTTGACTTACAATTTTTTGACTTTACAATGGTGCAAAATGACATATATTCAGTAGCAACCGTCCTTCGAATTCTGATTTTTGATCTTTTCCTCTTTTCTCTTTGCACCAAAATCCACAGATACAACTGAGCCTGTGTTAGTTGCAATCCCCCTACAGCCTGGTCCTCATTTCTGCATTGCTACACAAATGACCTACCTACTATGAGACTTCCAAAGTGAAGCGATCTTTGATAAAGTGACAATTAAATACTCTATAGTCACGACACTGCACTGAAGAAGTCTATGTATTGACATGGAAAAACATCTAATACACTGCTGCATGAAAAAAGTAGCCGACCAGTATTTTAAGGTAGTAGAATTATAGGTGATTTTCTTCTTTTTGATTTTCTGTATTTACCAAATAATCTAAAATGAATTGGCTTTATAATCCTAATTTCTTTTTTTTAAACAGAAGCTCTTCTTTTTTTTTTTTTAAGTAATCTCTACACCCAACATGAGGCATGAACTCACGACCGCAAGATTAATAGTTGTATGCTTGGGGCGCCTGGGTGGCGCAGTCGGTTAAGCGTCCGACTTCAGCCAGGTCACGATCTCGCGGTCCGTGAGTTCGAGCCCCGCGTTGGACTCTGGGCTGATGGCTCAGAGCCTGGAGCCTGTTTCCGATTCTGTGTCTCCCTCTCTCTCTGCCCCACCCCCGTTCATGCTCTGTCTCTCTCTGTCCCAAAAATAAATAAACGTTGAAAAAAAAAAAAATTAAAAAAAAAAAACAACAAAGAATAGTTGTATGCTCTACCGAGTAAGCCAGCCAAGCATTCCAATTCTAATTTCTTTTAATTTGTCTAATGCTGAATTCTGAAATCAATCTCCATTTATTACGAATCAAGATAATTTCAGTTCAGACTCAACTATTTCAAACACTACTGCAAGTCAAAGCAGTGTTAGCAAAACAATGTCTACTTAAAATTAACTTTTCCTGATTTGTACTCTCTCCTCAACTGAAGTGCAACTAAAAACAGACTTTGATTATATTCTTGGTGTGAATCTACATCAGCAGGGATCTGGGCCACGATTCAATACTCCTTAGGTCTCAGGTACCCAACCAAGGGGATAAAAGTAAACAAGTGCTCCCCAAAGAACAGTACAAATACAGCTGGTAATATGCGACATAATCCCAGGAGGTACTCTAAGGAATATTTTTATTTTAATAGCACATCATATACTAGTCTCTAAAGTGTTCATTCACTAAAGGAAGAAGAAAAAGAAGAAAAATTAAGATACGAAAGCACCTTTAATTTTTCTGTTTCACGAAATGGGAAGTTTGTAGCCAGTCTACGTACATTTAGTGAAGAAACTATAGGATCTATACTGCTGGCCCATCAAGTTACTGGGAGAAGAAATACAGCATTGTGTCTGTAGCGCACAGGTCAAGCTGGCAAAATGACGGCTGCCTCTGGTTCCTGGAGATGACAAAGGGCCTGTAGGTAGACGGAATAAAACTTTGAGTTAGATGTTCCACGCCTGTGGGAAAATATTGCCAGCACCAAAGAATTAATCATTACTAATGAAAGTAAGTCACTAAAATCCTGAACTTTTAAGAATCATATTTTGAGGACAGTCTTTCTTTAAAACATAAATCAAAACTTTATTCTGCTAACTTAAATGTCCATCCTAGTTACAGAAGTTACAGTCTGTCCACACGACGGATGTAGCCATCTAAAGAAAGATGGAGATCTGTCCTTACCAGGGTTGCTACTTGCCCTTAGGAGCCCACAATCAACAGTCTAGTCTTGGCAAATGGCGACCTCTGCTGTATGAGCAGGGCCATGTACCCGTGTGGAAAGTCCTATAAATGACCTGTTCAGAAGAGCAAGGTGCAGAACAGTAGAACATCCTGCCCTTCGTGTTGAAAAAACCAGGAGGGGATATGAATATACTTTATAGGCTAATTTCAGAAGCATATAAAGGAAACTGGTAACAGCGGTTGCCTCTGAGGAAGAAAACTGATGCATTTGGGGTTAGAACGAGAGATTTGCTTTTTTGTGTTTCTTGGAATTTTTCTAACAACATGCATGTATCACATCAAGTTTTTATGAAAAACCATGTCTTAGAGGCAGCCATTTGACCAATCCCATGGATGGTGGTGTCCAGTGAGGGCAATGGCAGGGGTGACAGGAATTAGTGGACTCAAGGAAATGGGAATACTGATTACAAAAACCACGTACACACTCCAGCTTTGCATTTCAGTGGAGAATTTAGTCACTGGGAGAAAAGTGAAATGGAGGATTAAAACAGCCCTCGAGAGAATAAAGTGTATTTCAGGGCAACAGGCTTGAACAGAAAGCCGAAGAGTGAAAGCGGCTATTTTCGAGTCTCTGAGAAATTAGGCCAGTCTCTGGCCTTCCTCACGAGGGCTTCTGCAGGCCCCATATCAGCTCAGGTTGGGGACACTACCTGGCTCACAATAGAGGGCAGAGTTAGTAGTTTACAAATGAATGAGTCACCCAACTAGTCAGTGAACAAAATAAAGGGAAGAGTTCAGGTCACCACCCTCTTCTGAACCCCTCAAGCAAGGTATGACAGCATCTTGACAAGTGGGGTTAATAATATGAAAGAGAAGACTAAAAGTAAAGCTCCAAAAGGCCAAGAAAACAACGAGATTTCAATTCCGCCCTAACCATAGGGAAAGGCAGGGTTCCACGGACCATAAGCACAACATGGACCAGGCAAGGGTCGGCTTCCTTCACCTCTGGAGAGTGACTGAAGAGGGCCCTGCGCTATGGCAGTGTAGAAGCAAAGGCCTCTGCAAAGACCCTGCATTATGAGGATGCATCACAGTCCCCAGACAGCTCAGGACCCAGTCCTGCCATTTACTGGCTGTGCAATCTTGAGCAAGTCACTTAGCCTCTCACAGACTCACTCCATCGTCTGCAAGATGGAAAGGACAACCCCCTCATAAAAACTGGTGACGATTAACCAATATAACGTGTTACAAGCCTAGCACATAGGAATTAGTCAAAAACTATAGCTATTATTTTTTAAAGCCTTGAACTATAACAACTGTAATCATAAAAAATTTGAAAAATACTCTAGACCTTATGTACTTCCATTATAAAGAATGCCCCCCCCCCAAAAAAAAGTATGTGCTCTGTTCATTTACAGTTACATGAAGCACTCTAGCATTCGATCCTGTAAGAAACAGTAGTTGGATAAATGAATCTCACCATTGCTGAGAACAGTCTTCAATGCCAAAATGGAAGCTGTTGGAAAGGTGTTTAGGTAAAGCTGCCTGGACCATATGTGACCTGTAAATTAAAAAAAAAAAAAAAAAAAAAAAAAAAAAAAAAAAAAAATCTTTTAAGATACTTTCTGCATTAAAAGGAACATTTTATCACCCAAAGAATATTAACATCTATAGAATAAAAGAACCAAGAGAAGGAAGTGAATAATTTCCAGGTTCCATGACCATGTGAAGTAGACAGCATCACCTTCTCCTTCATGCTCACGTCTAACCAGTTACCAAGCCCTATTAATTCTCTGCAAAAATCTATCAGCTATGCCCTCCCCTATGGTCTCACTGCCCCCCTCTTTATTCAGGTGCCATCCCTCAGCCACAAAGTAACAACAGTCCCTTAGTAGGTCCTGCTGCTACCCCTCTCATTCTCCATCTGCCATCAGGCAGCCCTTCCTAAAATAACAAGTCTGGTCACCTCCCAGCTCTGATTTCTCATTCTTTGGCTCCCTACTGCCTGCACCAATTCAAAATTCCTCAACATAGCCTACGTGACTGCAACGAGGACCCAACCTCCCATATCAGCCTCACTTGCCACCACTCTCCCCTCCACCCTCTCTGACTACACCAGACTTTGTAGTCATTCTTTTTTTTTTTTTTTTTAAAGACAGAGGTTGAGCGTGTGAGCTAGGGAGAGGGGCAGAGGGCGGAAGGAGAGAGAGAGAGAGAGAGAGAGAGAGAGAGAGAGAATCTTAAGCTGGCTCCACACTCAGCACAGAGCCCGAAGCAGGGCTCAGTCCCATGAGCCCAGGATCATGACCTGAGCTGAAATCAAGAGTTGGACACTTGGTCACCCAGGCACCTCCAACTTGTAGTCATTCTTGAACACACTGTGCTCTTCAATCCCTTTGTGTCTCTGACACGTTCTCCTGAAATATCACTCTCCTGAAATATCTGAAGGCTCCTGGTTCCCAAAGTGGCCCCCCCAGCACTCTGGGGGAGAGAGTCCCCCTCTCTCAAGACTCTGAAACTCTCGCAGTCTCAGGCTGTAACCGTATTATGTGCCACTTCACATAGCAGAGTGCTTCCAAACAGGTTCTGACAGCATTTATTCGTGATTTTTGAAAAGGGTACCAAGACAAATCAGTGGGGAAAGAACAATCTTTTTAAGAAATGTTGCTAGGACAGGGGCATCTGGGTGGCTCAGTCGGTTAAGCGTCCGACTTCGGCTCAGGACATGATCTCGCGGTTCGTGAGATTGAGCCCCACATTGGGCTCTGTGCTGACAGCTCAGAGCCTGAAACCTGCTTCGGATTCTGTGTCTCCCTCTCTCTCAGCCCCTCCCCTGCTCACACTCTGTCTCTCTCTGTGTCTCAATAATAAATAAACATTAAAAAAAAAAGAAAAAAGAAAAAAGAAATGGTGTTAGGACAAACGAATATCCTCTTGCAAAACAATGAAGTTAGAGTGCTACTTCATACCATATATAAAAATCAGCTCAAAATGGGTCAAAGACCTAAAGGTAAGAGGAAAAACTATAAAACTCTTAGAAAAAAACCATAAGGGTACATCATCATGACCTTCAAACTGGCAATGGTTTCTTAGATATACTAAAAGCATAAGCAACAAAGAGTAAATAGATAAATCAGACTTCACTAAAATTTAAAACTGTGTTTTAAGGGAAACTATATTCAGAGAGAAAAGACAACACACAAATGGAGAAAATTTTTGCAAATTATCTGACAAGGAACTTATTTCTAGAGTATACAAAGAACTCTTACAATTCACTAATAAAAAGACAACCCAATTTAGAAATGGGTAAATAGGGGCACCTGGGTGGCTCAGTCAGTTAAGCATCTGACTTCAGCTCAGGTCACAATCTCGCGGTCCGTGAGTTCGAGCCCCGCATCAGGCTCTGGGCTGATGGCTCAGAGCCTGGAGCCTGCTTCCCATTCCGTGTCTCCCTCTCTCTCTGTACCTCCCCCATTCATGCTCTGTCTCTCTCTGTCTCAAAAATAAATAAACGTTAAAAAAAAAATTAAAAAAAAAAGAAATGGGTAAATATTTGAATAGACATCTCTCCAAAGAACATTCATAAATGGCCAAATAAACACACACAAAAAAGATGTTTATAAGCCACCAGGGAAATGCAAATCAAAACCACAAACTGATACCACTTCACACCCACTAGAATAACAATAATCAAAAGGACAAATAATAACAAACGTTGACAAGAATGTAGAGAAGGAAGAACTCTCACGCACTGCTGGCGGGAGTGTGAAATTGTGCAGCTACTTTAGAAAACAGTCTAGCTATTCCTCAAAGTTAAACATGGAGTTACCGTTTGATCGTTTGATTGAGCAATTCCACTCCCGGGTCTATACACAACAGAAACAAAAATACTGCATACAAATATTTATAGCAACATCAGGCATAACAGCCAAAAGGTGGAAAAACCCAAATGTTCATCAACTGATAAATGGATACACAAAATGTAGTAGATACATGCCACAGAAATTCAGCCATAAAATGGAATGCAGTAGTGCTACATGCTACAACATGAATGAATCTTGAAAACCTTATGCTAAGTGAAACAAGCCAATCACAAAAGACCACATAGTATATGATTCCGTCTATATGAAATATGCAGAACACAGCAAACTATAGAGGTAGAAAGATCAGTGGTTGCCTAGAGCTGGGGGCAATGAGCAAGTCGGGGGGATGAGAGCAAAAGGGTATGTTTTTGGGGAGATGAAAATGTTCTAAAAATTTATTATGGTGATGGTTGTATAGATTTGCAGATATACTAAAAACCACTGAATCATACACCTTCAGAGGATGAATTGTATGGTGTGTAAATTACATCTCAATAAAGCTGCTACCACAAGAAAAGTTTATAATGCACCAGAAGAAGAAAAAACAAAACAAAACAAAACACAACCAGGCTCTGGAACCAGATGGTGTGTGTGGGCGCAAAAACCTGACCTCCTCCCAGTGTAACTTTGAACATGTTTCTCAACCTATGTGCCTTAATTCTTGGTCTGCAAAATAAGAATAGTAAAAGCATCTATCTCACAAAGGCACTGTATAGATGAAGTGAGGAAAAGCATAAATAGTTTTAAGATAGTTCCTGGAACACAGTAAGAACTCATGAGGGAAAGCTACAAACGCTATAGGTGTTATTTGAATGGAGCCTTGAAAAGAGGAGGAGGTGGTCACAACATGAACAAAAGTAAAGAATGTTCAGGTCAGATTTCCTGCCAAATCATTTCAGGTTAAGTTTCCCAACAAAATGAGTTACCAAAAAGAAACAAACAAGACCTTTTCCGTTTTCAGAGGTCTTTAGAATTTGGAATTACGAATGTTGGGTTGTGGGTTTACAATAAAATAGAAGGATGAAAAAAGCCCTAGTCATGAAGCACAGTGGTAGACCTTATGCTAAAGGATACAGCAGACTGACCCTCCTCAGGCTGCAAACCAACAAGGGGGGGGGGGGGGGTAACAACAGTAACGGCAAAACTAAGGACATTCAAAACATCCTTCTTTTCAATAATGACACTGATCAGCCCGGGATCTAAAATGACTGACACCAATCCTATCCGACCCAAGCTGCAGGACTGCCTCCATCGGCTTCGAACCCCACATCGACCTCACCAAAGGAACCTGTGGGTCACGCCCGCCGGGAAGGCGATGCTTGCTCCCCAGTTTCCCGCGCCTGTTAGCCAAGCACGCAGGAGGAGTCCGGTGAAGTGGAACGAGCCTTGGACAGCGTCCAGTCCACCCTCACTTTACAGACAGAAGCCCTGCGACCCAGAGAGGGCGCGGAAGCGTGCAAGGTCACACAGCAGCTCCGGGCAGGATCGGAGCCCGGCATGATGGGTTCAGAGGCCGCTTCTTTCTGCCCGTGCATCTGCAGGCAGCAGGCGAGCCCCCGCTCCCGTCCCCGCTCAGAGCCCCTCTCCCGGCGTCCCGGCTCTCACCCGCCGGCAAGCCACACAGCGCAGGGAGGCAGCCTGCAGCGCGTACCACCGCCGCCATGGTGGAGCCCTGAGAGAGCCTCTGTCCAGGCCGCTTTCTCCACCGCCTGCCGCGACTGCTTCTCGCCAAACGGCTGGCCACGGCCTGCGGCTGAATTCCCGAGGCCAAAATGCCGCACCGCAGCCCACGCCGAGGTGGGAGATTGTCTGCACCGGCAACAGGATAGAATGAGCACGGCGCCGCCGCGGACAGCCCCGCTGAGGGTCCTCGCATTAAGACCCGGGGGCGGGGCTTGGGCTGGCTGCCGGTGGGGGCGCAACCGAGAAGGCGGCGGGTCGCTCCGGCGCAGTGAGTTGGTGCTGTGGGCCGTTCGCAGCAAGAAGTGCGAGGTACACATGAACGCGAAAAGGGTCTACGTGAAGGTCCAAGGCTGAAGTCTCCAGGAGGCTTAGAACTAATAGGTGAATAAGGCCAGCAGTATAAAGTGTTCATACCCAACTTCAGTAAAGCTTGGAAGTTGGTTAGATTTATTTAAGCACTTCTGTTACCTTGGACTTCACACGCATTTGTGTGTTCTGATTCTAACGTTTGGTCACACGGTCATAACCTAGACCTATGCTACGGTTTTTCACGAGCTCCACTCGTGGCTTCATACCATCTGGGCCTGCCCGCATTACCCAAGTATGTAGACGGAGAGAAGACACGGACTTCTTGTAAGAAGCTAGTATTCCTGCTCAGGCCGACCTCTGATTTTCAAATTTAGTATAAAAATTTTCAAGCACAGAAAAACAAAAATAGTGACAAGTTAGAGTTCAAAAATTAAGACTGACACGGTTGCTTCACCTGTTCTTTCTCCCTCATTATTAACAATCAAGTCCTGTGCATTTTTTGAATATCCTCGTTCCTGGGCTATGTGAATTTCTTGATCTGAAGATACTGGGGATGTATCTTTTATTGGTGTTAGGACTGGTATGAGACGTAATATTTGTAGACTTTGTGCAGCTTGCTTGGCTGCATAGTCCGTTATTTCCTTTAGATTCTATAGACCCTCCCTTTTGATGCCTCCCAGGTGAATTACAGCCACCTCTTTCGGTTCATGCACAGCCTCTAAGACAGCTATTATTTCAGGTCCATATTTAATAGGAGAGTTATGATTTGATAACAGCCCTCTCTCTCTCTCTCTGTCTCTCTCTGTCTCTCTGTCTCCAGATTACCCCATGGGTTTGAGGCTCTTTGCCAATTGTAAAGCACGAGTGAGTGCTATTAACTCTGCTTTTTGGGCAGATGTATTTACTGGGAGTGCTTTGGCCTCAACAGTCTGTTGTGTCCCTAGCTTTTTATATCCCCCTTTTCATGAAACTACTGCGGTCAGTAAATCATCATCTGCATCATCAATAGGAGAATGTTTTAAGTCTGATCAGGTAGAATAACAAGATCAATAACCTCTGAACAGCTATGCTTTATAGAAGTATGATGGTCAGGTCCAGGCATAAGGGTAACTGGGATTCCGGTCTGATGGGTCTTAAGGACCACTTCAGGTGTGTCTAAAAGCATAGCCTGGCGTTTAGTAAGAACCCCCCGCCCCCATCATTCATTGGTGGCCTTTAGTTTCTAAAACACTTCGGACCTGATGTGAAATCATTACTATCAGGAACTGTCCCACAGTAAGTTTTGAGGCTCCTTCCACCAGGAGGGCTGTTGTATGCTTGGCTAAAGCCTCTGTTTGCAATTTCACATCAATAGAGGTAGTTCCTAGGACAAATATGGCTAAGGGATAAAACCATCAAGAAGTGCTCTTTGAGGTCTAGCCCTAACAATATCTTAATTACAAGGAATCACTGACAAGTGAGGCGAGACTTGTCTAGGAGTAGACAAGACATTAGAAAAGATTTAGAATAGACAAATAGAGCCCCAAGTGCATCATCCAATCTAATAGCATAAGGAAAGTGGGGTTACCCATTATCTCCACAAGTCCATAATTAACCCCATGGAGTGGGATACACTCTGGCTTTTAAGGAACAATTTTGTCATCCCAGCCACACAGAATTGGTCAAGGTGATAGTTGAGTTATACAATTGTTGAGGAATCCATCCTATTTTCCAGCTGTTTAAATAATCATATGCCCAGGGCGGCTCAGTCATGGTTAGGCATCTGACTTCAGCTCAGGTCATGATCTCATGGTTTGTGGGTCATAGCCCCATGTCAGACTCTGTGCTGACGCTCAGAGCCTGGAGCTGTGCTGATAGCTCAGAACCTGGAACCTGCTTCGGGTTCTGTGTCTCCTTCTCTCTCTGCCCTCCCTCCGCTCACACTCTGTCTCTGTCTCTCTCAAAAATAAGTAAACATTCAAAATATTTTTTAAAAATCATGTGCTCTTGGGGTCCTTCTTTATCCCTACAGAATAACAAGCAAGAAGAATGTTGATATATGAGCTGTGATGGCAATTTCTCTGAAGTTTACCTCAAGCTGTCTAGCTTAGGCAAACAACAGACATTCAAAAATAAACTAGAATTTAACATCCACCAAGATGTGTTATTGAAACATAATTTTTCTCTCTAAAATCACCCATATTTCCAGAGATAGCCAAATCAAGACTAATTCATTTGAAAAACAAGACCAATTTTAACAAATTTAGCCAGATTATTTATATAAGCTCAGTAAGAATAGCAATTGACCATCCAGATCTTTTAAAATCTGCTTTGCTGGAACTTTTCATAATGAATCTAATATTAGTAGCCTCTGTAGGCCAGAAGCCAAGCCACATACTTGCCATCAGATAAGCCTGCAATACCTATAGATTTGGGCAAATTCCTCTTCGTGAAGACCCCCCCCCCCCCGGAACATCCTGAGGTTCCTGCACCTGCCAGAAAGTGGCTTTCTTTACTCACCTGATAAAGTTGCTGGGCACTCTATAATATGTAATGCTGGCCTCTATAAGGCCAACATTTCCAAGGGGCTTTATGGCTCCATATTTCGTAAAGTCACCCTTAGTTCCTTAAAGCTGTCTGGTCATGTCTGAGTCTATGTGATGAGGTTTTAGAGTGATGGGTGTCTGGAGCCGACAGACCTCTCCTTATTCCTGTCCTTATACAAAGTTGTCTGTCTTGGGCATGGGACAGCCACCTAAGTCACTAGCATGCTTGCCAATCTTAAGACTCGTGTGTGAGGTTTCCTCCTCATTGGTCTAATGTGATCCCCTTCACATCTCTGGTCTAGCCTCTTCTGGCTGTGAGACCTCTGCTTGGAGCCCACCAAAACCCATACCCAACTGAATTAAAACCCAACTGGGGACTGTTCCCTAGGGAAATTGGCTATAAAAGACTTCCTGTGTTGGAAAGCTGCTCAGACCATGATGGATTTCTATCTTGAGGGTTTTCTGTCAATGTCCTCTATTAACTACTTAAATTACCAAATTGGATAAATTCCTCTTGTAAATCTTTTCTAATGTTTTCCATGGGTTTAAAATGGGATGTTTGTCACAGCATGGCATGATATTTCAGTCCATTCACCGGCACCCATTTGTACAATACAGTAGGGAAGCAGGGGGAAGCTAGCATCCCTCCTACAGGGCCTTTATGGTAGGACAGTGATCAACAGCAGTTTCATTTGAGGGAGACCTCTAGTCACTTTGACACCTGCCCTAGCAGGCACTTTTGGAAGTAGAATTTTAATTTTATACTAGTGTATTTTTAAAATCCATTCATTTCAGGGGCACCCGGGTGGCTTAGTCGATTGATGGAGCATCTGACTCTTGATTTCAGCTCAGGTCATGATCCCAGGGTCGTGAGATCAAGCCTAGCATCAGGCTCTGCAATGAGCATGGAGCCTCCTCAAGATTCTCTCTCTGTCTCCCTCCGCCCCCTCCCCCACTTACATGTTCACTTGCTCTCTCAAAAAATAAAAAAATAAAATAAAATCCATTCATTTCAACCTTAGTCTGTCTTGACCACACATAAAATTCCTTTCCAAAGATTTCCTTCACAAACCTTCTACAACTTTACTTTGCATTTAGATTTTGTCCCAAGCCATTTCTCTCCAAACAACTAGTCTCGTTATGGACAAAATTACTTTCTTTTAATTCAACAAAAATGTATTTCCATTCCTTATATCTTTCTTACACATCTGCTTTCCTACATACAGAGTTGCTTCCTTTATTTTCATCAGTCTTAATTACACTTAGCAGAATTTTGATCTCTTAGAAACCTTAGTCTCCAGTGAAAACTAAGTAGTAACAAATTGTGAACTGTTATACCAGAATTCTTTAGATGGCAAATTTATGAATCAATTAAGCATAAAGTGTATTACCAACAGACTCAAATATCCTTAATTTTTCTGCAGTAAGAAGCCAAAAGCAGAAACCTGTGTTCAGTTGTCAGTGCTTTAGCCCTTTCTCCTATTTGGAAAAGACCTAGAAATCCAATGAAAAAGAGGACATCAAGTTTCTGGGTCTTACTACCATTCTGACCAAGGTACTAATTTCCAGCCAAAAGACAGGCTTTCCCCTCCTCATAGAGTAGCCACAGGCTAGAGGATTGCAGCCTGAGAAATTGACATAAAAGTATTCCAATAAAACCATACTCCTTGAAAAGCCCCTGAAGTTAAAGGAAGAGAAGAGAAAGTACTCACCAAGTTTGCACCACGGTTCAAAGTCCAGATGAGAGGACTTGGGCCCCACGTTGGGAACCAAAATGATGTGGAAATGTAGACGTTCTGAGCGAAAGGTCAAGAAAGAATTGAGACATCTTTGGTGCAGAAAGGTAATTTTATTAAAGCACAGGGACAGGACCAATGGGCAGAAAGAGCTACGTCAGGGTCATGAGGAATGGCTGATTATATACTTTCAATTATATATTAGAGATAGCATAAATCTCCAAGGAATCTCTAAGGAAGGATGTTCAATGAACTTAATTCAATCTGTCATCCAAGCAAAACTTTAAAGTTAACAATTATCCATGAAAACTTTGAAATAGAATTAGCCATCATTGTTTTTTGAGAGAGACAGCACGTGCACAAGAGTGGAGGGTAGAGAATCCCAAGCAGGTTCCATGCTCAGCACGGAG